CCCAGCGCCCCCCCCGGCTCCCCTACCACTGGCCCCCGGCTTTTCCCTGGCTCCCGGGTCTGGGGGGGGGGGGCACTAGCTGCGTCCCCCCCCCCAGCAGACCAGGGAGATGCGGAGCAAAGCGGCGGAGGATCCGGGCCGGACCGCGGCGCTTCCAGATCAGCTTTAGTCACAGCTTCATTAACACTGGTCTTACAATTGACAAGTAACTTCATTTTTGTTTATATATAACTCCAATTCTATAATTTCTTCTCCAACTCATCTGATCAAGTGGATTTTATCCACAAAGGCTCATGACCTAATACATTTGTTAGTCTCTAAGGTGTCACAGGATTCCTCGTTGTTTTAAGTCATCCCAGTTAACACTGCTTTGTTATTAGGTTGCTGAGCTATTAAAGAACATTTGCATCTTAGGGTAAGTGTAGATTACACGCTTCTTTTGAAGGAAGCTTTTTCAAAATAATCTTTTGAAAAAGCTTCTTTCGAAAGAGATAGTCTAAGACATCCATCACTTTTTTTGAAAAAGTGATTCACTTTTTCGAAAGACAGCACGCAGGCAATCTGGATGCTCTCTTTCAAAAAAACCCTGTTTGCGTTCAAGAACGCCTTTTTTCGAAAGAGCTCTTTCGAAAAATGGCGTTCTTCCTCGTAAAATGTTTACCGCTTTCAAAAAAACTGCCGCATTCTTTCGATTCAATTTCTAAAGAATGAGGCGGCAGTCTAGATTCAAGTGAAGTTTTTCTGAAAAAAAAAAGGCCACTTTAAAAAAAAAAAAAAAACCTGTAGTGTAGACATAGCCTAATTTGCACAGACAAGCGCCTGACCTCACTTCAACCGAGCTTCACGATCATTACTGGTGATTTCAGTATTAAATTGTTGCTTAAAATTATTTAAAATGTATACAATGTATTTATATAGTCATTCGTCTATAGGAAAAATTTCCCTGTAACCTAAACCTTTCCCCCATTTACATTACATCTTATGAGGAAATTGGATTCGCTTAATATTGTTTCACTTAAATTAGCATTTTCCAGGAACATTACTGCAATGTGAAATGAGGAGTTACTGAATGTAAATGGCCAGTACCACCCGCACTGATTGCATATATAGTGAGAAACAGAATAAAGATATGCCTAACTCTTAAGACAATGAAAGCAACAGCTTCCTGCTCTTGGTATATTTTCAATATAGATAACAGGGACGTAATATTTTTCAAAATAGTTAATGCATTAAACAATTAAAATTATATAATTTAGCAGCTGGTTAACCGTTTGCCATCACAGGGCAGCCAGGGCTGACAGTGTAAACAAGGTCAGGGCTGCAAATAGGGCCTGGGTGGCCAAGTGGGGGTGGCTAAGCAGTGGACCCACCACCTGGCTTGGTTAACAGGTTCTCTCTCTTACATCCTTAATTGATAAACCACCACAGAGTCATTAACCACTACACATTCTGGCTGCGTCTAGACTAGCAAGTTTTTCCGCAAACGCAGCTGCTTTTGCGGAAAAACTTGCCAGCTGTCTACACTGGCTGCTTGAATTACTGCAAGAACACTGACTTCCTACTGTCTGAAATCAGTGCTTCTTGCGGAAATACTATGCTGCTCCCGTTCGGGCAAAAGTCCTTTTGCGCAAAGCTTTTGTGCAAGTGGGCCAGTGTAGACAGCTCAGATTTGTTTTCCGCAAAAAAACCCTGATCATGAAAATGGCGATCGGGGCTTTTTTGCAGAAAAGCACGTCTGGATTGGCATGGACGTTTTTCCGCAACAAGTGCTTTTGCGGAAAAGCATCCGTGCCAATCTAGACTCTCTTTTCCGCAAATGCTTTTAACGGAAAACTTTTCCATTAAAAGCATTTGCAGAAAATCATGCCAGTCTAGACGTAGCCTCTGTGTATAACTTGTTTCCAAATTAGGAAAATATCCATTAAATTATGTCAAAATTTTACTTGAGACTAGGAAGCCCGTGTCTTTTAAACATTTTTTTATGAACTACATCAATTTATTTTCATATTAAAGAAGGTCAAAAGGCATTTAAGCAAAGACTGTAATGAGGCTCTTCAGTTAAGTTCCTGCTACCTGTTACATATGTAGAGAGAGAGAGTGGGAGAAGGTCCGCGAAAGAACAATGTCTAGTCTTTCAACATCACTCCTGTTACACACTTTTTACATACGGCTGGCATTCCAATCAATGCTTACCCCCACCGGGTAAAGAAAATTAGGAAGTTGACCAGATTGCAGTTTACAGAGCAACCAACATTTTTTGCATTTTTTAACTACAACGGACACCAATAGTGTCCTGAAGTGTCTATCTTTACGGGGCTCTAAATCCTCCCTTTCAGCTCAAATTAACGTCCCATGAGTTGTGTGACAAACCGAAAAGCACACTTGGCAGTGGGAAGTTAGTTTGGCCATTCCCGGGCACGTCTCTTGCTTCCGAGCGCGCCCGGGCTGCAGCGCCGAGCTGTTCGGCTCGGTTCCCAAAAGGGTGTCAACCGCACGCACCCCGGGAAGTGGCTTTGACGCCCCCCAATAAATCTGGCAGCCTCCTAACGTGCCCTGGGACTCCCCCTTGTGCGGGTCACCCCGGCCCCGCAGAGAGCTCAGCCCCTGCCAGGGCCGGAGAACTTGACAAGCGCGGCGCGCCCGGGCTGCAGCGCCGAGCTGTTCGGCTCGGTTCCCAAAAGGGTGTCAACCGCACGCACCCCGGGAAGTGGCTTTGACGCCCCCCAATAAATCTGGCAGCCTCCTAACGTGCCCTGGGACTCCCCCTTGTGCGGGTCACCCCGGCCCCGCAGAGAGCTCAGCCCCTGCCAGGGCCGGAGAACTTGACAAGCGCGGGGGGCGCCAGAGGCAGGCGGCGGGGCGGGACTCACCGCAGAGCATGAAGAGGAGCGCACAGGCCAGCGTGGCCACGA